AAGCCATTCGTTATTCCCCTGATTAGGGAAATACGGATCTCCAGGAAGATGGAAACCATTCATATTGTCTACAAGAGGGTATATAATTAAACCATTATTAATCCTAATATATTTTTTGTTGTTGTTGAAATTTGTTTGATGTTCTCCTCTAGTTTAACAAGAGGGTATGCCTTAGGTTTACTGACCATCGTGATCGCCCAGTGCATGTGATAGTTGTATTCCGAAGAAATGTAGTTGATCAGGCTACATTTATCCCTAATACAACTGTAAACAGTCCTGGTTTAACCGAGACGTCAGGTTTTTCCCAATCATCTTCATTAATTTGTTGTTATGTTCATTTTTCTAAGTCGCACAGGTAAGAGTGTTTATGAGTATATTTTACTTGTTTTGTTCAGAGTTATTTAAAAAAATCATGTGTTATAAGCTTGATATTTTTAACCCAAACATTCATAATTGTTTATTTGGCCCAAAAACATTTAGATTGACCATTTTGGCCCATTTTCTTTAAAAATGGCACTTTTAGTCCCTTTTTATGAAAATTGACATTTTTGGTCCTTAAACCATTTTTCTTGACATTTTTCCACCCAAACTTTATTTGAATAAAAATTTTAGTCCAAAACTATTGCATTTGTCATTTCCAGCCTTTATTTGTAAAAAGTTTACATTTTTGGCCCAATTTCCGTAAGTTTTACCATTTTGACCCCAAAATCAAAAACTTTGCATTTTTAGTCCAATTTGGTAATAAAATCATTTTCAACCCCTTAAATAGTTTAATTATGTTTTAGACTCATAGTTTGTTAAGATGTACATTTCAGCCCCTCAAAACTTCATTTTTTCGCAACCTTGGGCCCAAAAATTCGTGAGGCCCAATTTAAAGTCCAATAAGCTAAAATTTATTTTTTTGACCCTTTGAGAAGTATTATTTTCACAAAAATCAGCTTTTATACAAATAAATACCTTATAGCCCTCACAAAACCGATAATTATCAATTTACACCCAATCTTTGTTATTTTTGCAAAAATGACACTTGTAAAGTTCTTTGGCTTTGTTTTTCACTTTTTAAACTTAAGGACCCATAGATCCATGATGTATGTTGTTTATTTTGTTTTTGTTTATGATTCTTTCACCCTTTTTTCTATAGATCTCGAAATATCACAAGTATTACATTATTATCACAACCAAAAACTAAAGAAATCACACATAACATGCAAGCACACATAGATCATCACATAATACTTGTATTCTCTCCCAAAAACAAGTAAAAACCGAAAAACAAGGGGGTATGAACTCACCTTGCTTTGTTGCTCACGGTTTTGAAGAAGAAATAGAAAAGATTGATGATATTCTTGGCCCTAACAATCTTCTTGAAGAGACCTTCGAATTTGAAGAGTTCTAAGGAGTATGATCAAGAATTTAAGGTGGTAAGAAGAGTGATTAAGTTGTAGAAAGAAAGTATGTTGACAAGATCTTACCACAAGTATGTATCTTGGAGTGATTTTTGGATGAAAACCTTCTTGAAATGCCCTAGATCTCAAAAATTTGGAAGGAGGAATAAAGGTGTTCTTGAGAGGATTTGGAAGTGAATTAAGTGTGTGTGTATGTGTGTGTTGGTGTTCTCGGCCGAGAGTAGAAGAATGAGAAGAGAGAGTGTGAGGTGACCATTATGGATGCATGTTGGTCATGCATGGATACATGGTGTGCAATAAGGAGGTGGCAACTCCCAAAGTCAACCCTCCCCCATTTACATCTTTTTTTTCCACTTGGGCCGAGAGAGAGAAGGGAAAGAAGTGGCTTGGGGGCCTTTAGTGCTTGAGTCCCATAATATGAGGCCCAATTTGATGGTTTTCGGCCCATTGGGCCCTTAGGAGGGTTTACGGCCCAATTAGAATGAAAGAATGGGTTTCATGGCCCATTGAAGTTTATTAGGTTTGTTATGGCCCAATAAGGCCCATTCAGCTAAACCAATTTATTTTGGATCCCTAATGGCCCAAAATGTTAAGTTTCATGGAAGTGGGTCCAATTAGGGCCCATTTAAGGGTCCTAAGCCCAAAATAGTCAGATTGGAAGCTTATTGGTCCCTTAGGCCCAATAAGAAAATCCTAGTCCATAATGGACTTAAACCGGGATTTTTAGAGTTTCCAATCTTTTGTTGACCATTTGAAGTGTTGTATAGAGTGTTTGATGAAATTTTGTTGTCATTGAATAAACAACATGCATACTTTCAAGTTTTTAGCCACAAATGTTACTCTTGTTATTGTTTACAAAAACCTTAGAATTCTTAGTTGTGACACTATAAAGGATCAATGGCTTTCCTTGTAACTTATTTGTCTCTCTTTTATCATTATTTTACACTTACCTTGCACTAACACCACAACCTCTTATACAATTTGGTTAAATTACACTTGATCGGTTTTTTACCAAAACAAGTTTTAATTGGTAAATCTATTTTGAAAAAGAAATGCTTTGTAATTGTCAGGATGCTACAGTATTAACTTGAATCTTAATAGGTTTGTGATAATAAATCTGTTAGGACTAGTGGTTGATCAAATTCTATATATCGTTAGGTAACATAATCATAAACTTAAATGTATTAGAGAGCATTAATTAACCAAACTATGTTTTGATTAGATTTTTATGAACATTGAAACTAACCACTAAATTAGTTCATTAATAATTTTAATATTAAATTTCTTATTTAGTATTGAATTATATGTTCATTATATGAGTTACTTAATAATCAATAGCATTATTTAATCTGACCAATGTAGCTACTCATTTTATAAATCGGTAATCAACTTTATTAAATCCATTGCATTTCAATAAAATCAACCGTAGAAAATTAATAAGGATTTTAAGTCTAAACATAATTACTTCAAAATTATTGTTTTTAATCAAAGTTCTTTGCCTAGTTTGTGCAATAGTAAAAATCTAGTTTGATTTAGTTAAACAACAAAACCCCTATTTTAATTTTCTATTTGTAATTGAATTGTATCTTAATCAAAATATACTTGTTTCCCTAGTGTTTGACACCATTTCTTACTACAATTATATTATTACGCGGTCAATTACACTATTTGTAAGTGTAACAGTTTAATTGAGATAATTTAGAATTTATAAATTTAAGATCTTTATAAATATTTATATATATACAACATCACATATTACTTACAATGCCATCAGTCAAAAAAACATAGAAAAGTAGGATGTTATTTCTAGGGATGAGCAATGGGTCAGACTCGGACCGGACCAGCCCGAAGACCGAAAAGCGTGAATTACCTGACCCCAAAAATCGGACCGTTTTTAGGTGTATTGGGTCTAGGTTCGGTTTCATCCAGTTCCTAGTACTAAATCGGGTTTCGGGTTTTAGACGGAATTAGACTTTGGAGGTCCAGTCCTATTTCGGGTATCAAACTGGGTTTCGTATCTTTGCTGTTTGCGGTTTCGAGTTTTGTTTGTGATGTTACTTTCTATTCTCTAACATACTATTCTAATTATAATTTAATGTTCATAAATAATATTTTTTTTAGAAAATAGAGCTTCATAAATAATGTTAAAATAAATACATTACTGAATGTTGAATCTAGTCAAATTATTTCCAAAAACCTCCACGCCCATTTGTGCCCCGTTAGTCACAAACTCACTCATACAAAAACATTAAACATCAACTTTCTTTAATGTGAAATGAAGATGTATCTTTGGATAATCTAAGATTTTTTATTTCAGAAATCATGCAATATAACATTAATTAATAATTCAATATCGTTATCTATATATTTTAAACTTATGTTGATATTTGTAAAAGGAATTAAGATGAAAATGTTTTTCGGTCTGGTCCGGGGTCCAAACCCGAAACCTAATTATTAGTAAAAACAGAACCTAAAAACTGGCCTACTAATATGAATAGCTGGTCCGATCCGGGTCCGGTCCCGGTTTTTTTCGGTACGATCCGATCTAACAGGTCATATGTTCATCCCTAATTATTTCCTTGAACCAACTCCACGTATTAACACAATTCAATATTGAATTTCAGGTCCACAATAATGTGTATTTTACTCATTGAATATAATATACATAAGAGATTTCCTTAACCTAATTATACTGTTTTGTGTATTATTATTGACATAACGTGATTATATATTTTACAATGAAAACATAAAAGAAGAAGAATATTATGTATTATTTATGTAAATAAATTTTAATTTTGTTGTTTATATTTATATCTAATCGCCTATTATATTATATTTTTTATATTTAAATTGTCAAGGGAATATACGCAATTTTAACATAACCATTTTATATTATTTATTAAAAAGGCAATCAACGATAATAATAATAATAGTAATAATAACGATAATAATAATAATAATAATAACTCCTCTATTTTGAAACAATTTTATGATTAATCCTAAATTAAATAAATGTGTGAACTATTGATTTATTTCAAATAGACTTTTCATGATAACAGGCGAAGCCCATTTATCTAAAAGAAGAGATTGAGCCCATCATGCTATCTCAATTCTCAAATCACAAAATGATGAATGAGTCGTCGCCATCGTATTTCTTCAAAGACAAAACTTCAAAAATAGTCATTGTGTTTCTGAAAATCTGAAGTTTGATCCCTAATTTATAAAAATCTCACGGATCGTCCCTATGGTTTCAAAACTTTTAACATTTGGTCTTTCCGCCTAACTCCGTCAGCTATCTACCGTTAAGTGAGGGGTATTTTCGTCATTTCAACACCTAGTGACAATTTATGAGGTTTTCTATTGTTTTTTTTTTTTTGAAAAAAAAAGATAAAAAATTAAATTTAAAGGGGTCCTACCCATCTCTCTCTCTCTCTCTCTCTCTCTCTCTCTCTCTCTCTCTCTCTCTCTCTCATAAAAAGGGATCCCAATGCTTCATCGTCATATTAGAGCAACGTTCACCAAACCAACTGCCATTTCTTCATCTCAAAGCCTCCAATAGCAAAATAATATTTCAATTTGATAGAGGGAGAAAGTATGGATTCGGATAGAAAAAGGGTGTCAACGAGTTCATCAAAAAATGGGGTGGTGATGGGTTCTGTTTGGGATAGCAGAATGAAAGGTAGCTTCAAAGTCTTTAATGGTGATGACAAGAATCAAGAAATTGAAAAACCCACAGAGAAAAACAACCCAACTGAGACTACTGGTGAGATTGTTAAAATGGAGAAGGCTAGATCTGAAAACAAAAAAGTATTTGGTGAATTGAGTGTTTCGGTGGATGGAATTGGAATCAAGAAAAGCCCAGTTCAAATGAAGAAGGGAAGACAGGAATGGAGTAAGGAACAGAGTGCTTCAGAGAAGCCCATTTGTTCCTTCGATCTCGGCTGACTTACGAACAAGGGAAACAATCGACTAAAAAAACAAAAGTGGTGGTGACCGATTTACTCACAGTGGCAGCAAAATGGTGGTGGTCGGGCTTTCAACAGCGATGACGGCAATGGAGTGAGTCGGCGATGGAAGGAGGGTGACGGTGGTGGTAGCGGCGGCTCCGGCTGCCTCGTCTCTCTTCTATCCGAACAAGGGACCGATTTACTCACAGTGGCAGCAAAATGGTGGTGGTCGGGCTTTCAACAGCGATGACGGCAATGGAGTGAGTCGGCGATGGAAGGAGGGTGACGGTGGTGGTAGCGGCGGCTCCGGCTGCCTCGTCTCTCTTCTATCCGGCAGCACACGGTGGTTCTCAGTGGTTACAACAACAGCAACACCACCCTTGGGGGTGGTGGTGTTTCTCGGTAGTAAGGAAAAGGGGAAGGACAGTAGAAAAACGTGAATGGAAGGCAGTAAGTGGTGGTATTTGAGGGTGGGTTTGAGTGATCAAACGGGATGGAAGATGGGTGGCTGGGTTGTGGTTTCCAGTGGGGAAGGAGGTGATGGCAGTGGTGGTTTTATGGCGGAAGGTGGTGCTACCGTGTGGAATCGTAAGTGAGAGAGAGAGAGAGAGAGAGAGAGAGAGAGAGAGAGATGGGTGGGTGTCACACCCCCAGCCATCGGCGGAAACACCGGGTGGTGTAACGTCATTCTTCGTATCACAGTTATTTGAACAGTACTAAAGAAAATACATACCTTTATTGATAATTGAGAGTTACATAACTGTTTTTTTAGAACCTATTACATAATATCCGAGTATGGCATACTTCTTAATGAACAGAAAGGTAATAGTAAAACTTCTCATGTTCGAATACATATCAGCTTTTCAAGTTTCTGAAAACACATGCATTTTAAAATACGTCAACATAAAGTTGGTGAGTCCACAGGTTTTGACTCCATATAAAAATAATATATTTTCCACGTTCAAAAGTATAGTTTTGAAAGTATCATTTTGACTCTCCAACATTTAGTATGTATATTAGGTATACTAGTTTACTTATCAATTAAATGTTATACCTAAACATTCCTTAAACCTAAGGTATAAGTAGGGGGAAACTTATACTTAACATTAATACTTGTATACGACAAAGTATAATGTTTCTAACAATTTGCTACCATGAGCATGTAACCGTTGCTATGACATAATACCTCTGATAAAACACACTCATGATTTACCATGAGAAACAACACACTCATGATTTACCATGAGAAACAACATTGTACGCTTCATCAACGCCGGAACAATAACAAGTAAAAGGATAGTTCATCACTCGCTTTTGGTTGACCGTAGCTAACAGTCACAAGTGGGGTGGTCAACCCGTATACTAATTATACACGACTTCCTCGCTCACACGGGATTAACGGTTACAGTTCAGAGGATTTCCGCTAAGATCCCCAATCTTAGTTGATGAATACAATTACTCATGTAGACTTCGACGGCTTTCTATAGCTCTAACAACAAAAGCATTTTCATGTCTAAAACCCTAAGTTACTAGACTATGCTTTTAAACATTACTCCTAACTTCATAACATTTAGGCAGTATAACAGCTATAACTTGAAGTAAAACCAGGATTTATCTTCACATAAAACCAATAACAACAACAACATATAACATACCAAGTTTTATCTTGTCATAAAACTAACAATAACAACATACAACATACCAAGTTTTATCTTGACATAAAACCAATAATAGCAACATACTTTATAAATTAACATATAGAACTTCCGAATATAACTTCGGAACTATATCGCACACAACATATATATAGAATCCTAAGTATAACTCAAGATCTACATTAGTATAACAACATGCTGACAAGTTGATAATAGTTGTATATATTCAAAATATTATATTTAGAACAACTATACCCCGGTTATTATGACTATATACTATCATATAGACATAATAGTAATGTATATACAATATTTAGCATGCGTTTTCCCCCAAAATATTAGAAAGTGGGGCCGTGAAACTCACCCTAGTAGCGTGATTTTATGTAATCTAAGCAGAAACGGTCCGCGTACGAAGTCGTCGGGGCTCGTGATGCAAGATGGCTTCAGCAAAGGAGAGAGGAGAAAGGGAAATGGTGTAAGGAATAGCTGAAGTCGGACCTGCTATTTATAGTAAGGATTTTGGAATCTCACGTCGTGAGCTTTATAAGGCTCACGTCGTGAGTCATGCATGCTCATCCTGTAGACTTGCCATTTGCGTCCCTAGCTTCGGAAGGTGTCCCTTTGACTCCTCACGACGTGAATCAATCCTTGCTCACATCGTGAGTTTGGATCTTATCCCCTCGCAGCCTCGTCACACCTTCTAGATTCCGAGATGTGGCAAAATGACTCCTCACCTTGTGAACATCTATGCTCACCTCGTGAGTTCAATCAGATTAGGGTTTTCTAACAGCTGTATCTTCGGAAGGTCGTAACTTTTGCATACGAACTCTGTTTTTGACGTTCTTTATATGCATGCGTAAGTATTTACAAGTACTACAACTCTCTTTTAGACTCAAATAGCTAATTCTAAGTCTATTTTAAATTCCTCTTATTATAGAGATTTATAGTGTTCGGTTTATCATAACTTCTTCATGCGAAGTCAGATTCAGACGTTCTCTATATTTTTGGAATCGTATTGACGTATACTTTGAGTTGTATAATAAAGAAAGTTCATATTTGTATTAGAATTTATCATGAACTACATAGCACTCTTATCACATTACTAGTTTAGCAAAATCACATTACATGATTGGCATAATCACATGTGATTGTCTATTGACCTATTTTGACTGGTGTTACATTCTCCCCCCGTTAGAATAATTTTGTCCCGAAATTTATCTTATGGATGGGTTTTTGTCAAACAGTTGGGGGTATTTTTATTTCATCTGATCTTCACGTTCCCAAGTAAATTCAGGTCCTCGTAAAGAGTTTCATCGAACTTTCACTATGGGAATACGACTTTGCTTTAATCGTTTGACTTCTCGATCCATGATCTCAACAGGTTCTTCTACAAAGTTGAGTTTCGTATTGACTTGTATCTATTTGAGAGTTATAACAAGAGTGTCATCGAATAGACATCTTTTGAGGTTTGATACGTGAAAACATCGTGCACATTACTTAGCTCTTGAGGCAACTTGAGTTTGGTATGCGACAGAACCAATTCTTGCTAGAATTTCAAAAGGTCCAATATACCGTGGGTTTAGTTTGACTCGTTTCCCGAATCGAATTACGCCTTTCCAAGGAGAGACCTTCAACATTACTTTATCTCCAACTTGGAATTCTAAAGGCTTACGTCTTATGGCAGCATAGCTCTTTTGACGATCACGTGCAGCCTTTAATTGATCCTCAATTTGCACGATCTTTTCAGTTGTCTCGTGGATTATTTCTGGTCCAGTACTTAAGGTATCGCCTGTACGTTCTCTGGCCATCTGCGTATCTCCAACTTCTGCCCAACATACTGGGGAACGGCATTTTCGTCCATAAAGAGCCTCAAACGGTGCAGCCTTGATGCTGGTGTGATGACTATTGTTGTAGGAAAACTTAATTAATGGTAAATGAGTATCCCACGCATTTCCAAAGTCTATTACACAGGCTCGGAGCATATCTTCTAAAGTCTGAATGGTTCTCTCACTCTGACCATCAGTCTGCGGATGGTAAGCTGTACTCATATCTAGACGTGTTCCTAAGGATTTTTGTAGAGATTGCCAAAATCGTGAAGTGAATCTACTATCTCGGTTTATAAATAATAGAATTTGGAACTCCATGCAATCTGACAATTTCCTTAAGATAAACTCTAGTCAGCTTCTCCATCTTGTCGTTCTCCTTAATTGGTAAGAAATGGGCGGACTTAGTCAATCTATCGACTATTACCCAAATAGTGTCGAACCCACTAGGAGTTTTAGGTAACTTAGCGATGAAGTCCATTGGTATCTGCTCCCATTTCTATTCAGGTATTTCCGGTTGTTAAAGTAAACCTGAAGGCTTTTGATGCTCTGCCTTTACTCTAGAACAAGTCAAACATTTCCTCACATAAGTAGCAATTTCTGCCTTCATGTTTGGCCACCAATAATGTACTTTTAAATCTAAGTAATTTTGTTAGAGCCTGGATGCACAGAATATCTGGACTTGTGGGCTTCTTCTAAGACCAAGTCCCTGACTCCACCGAACTTAGGCGTCCAAATTCGGTTCATAAAGTATCGCGTTCCGTCATCTTTTTGTATAAGTTGCTTTTCCATTCCTCGCAAAGCTTTGTTCTTGATGTTTTCTTATTTTAAAGCCTCAAGTTGAGCTTCTCTAATTTGTGCGGTAAAGTTGGAATGGATAGTTATAGTTAATGCTCGTACCCGTCGGGGTTTAATATATTCTTTCCGGCTCAAGGCATCTACTACCACGTTTGCCTTTCCGGGATGATAACGAATCTCACATTCGTAATCATTCAACAATTCGACCCATCTTCGTTGTCTCATATTAAGATCTTTTTGCTTGAAGATGTGCTGGAGACTCTTGTGGTTGGTAAAAATAGTACACTTAGTACCGTATAAGTAATGTCTCCAAATTTTTAGTGCAAAAACTACAGCTCCCAATTCAAGATCATGGGTAAGTGTAATTATTCTCATGCATCTTATGTTGTCGTGATGCATAGGCGATAACTTTTCCTCTTTGCATCAATACACATCCCAAACCTTGATTTGAAGCGTCGCAGTATACGACGAAATCTTATGTCCCATCTGGAAGGGATAGGATTGGTGCACTACACAACATTTGCTTCAGTTTCTGAAAAGCAGCTTCTTGTTTGTCTTCCCAGTTGAACTTCGTATCCTTCTGGGTTAGTGTTGTAAGCGGCTTGGCTATTTTGGAGAAATTCTCTATGAATCTGCGATAATAGCTAGCAAGTCCTAGGAATTGACGCACTTCTGTTGGCGTCTTTGGTGCTTCCCAATTCCTGATTGCCTCGACTTTGGATGGGTCAACATGAATTCCTTCGTTGCTAACTGCATGACCTAAAAAATTGTACTTCTCTAATCCAAAACTCACATTTGGAGAATTTGGCGTACAACTTTTCTTTTCTTAGTAGTTCCAAGTGATGGGTTTTGAGCATTCTAACACTTCCTAAGTGTACATGCAACCCTAATAACCTTGGATCTATGTTTGTCTAATAATCATGCAAAGTTGAATTCCAAGGTTATATTCCTATCTAGCATACATGGGGAACATTTTTAACTTGAATGAAAGATAGAATAACTTACCTTGTTGTTGATTATGATCCTTGAAACCTTGTGAGCCTAGCACCCCAAGTGTGATGCCTCAAATGCTTCACACAACACCAAATGCAAAGGAGTAAACTTTGAGAGAATCTTACACTTGCAAAATCGGCTCTAGCCCTCTTGTTTCTTAGTGTAGCCGAT